CTAGTTGATAATTTTGAAAGGTCTGCTGTATCCTGGCCACATGTTGAAAAGCTTTAGATAGCACTGTCAATTGCTTTCATTCCAATTAAAATCAAGCAACCAAAAAAAAAAAAAATCAAATAAATGACATTTTTATAAATCCATACTCATTGATGTGATTTTTTCCACTAACAAATAGGAAGTTGAAATGGAGAGGATGATACTCACATTTTTGGATGATACGTAGTTCAGGAGAATCAAAAATAACTGACAACAGTTCGAAACAGAGCAGTCCTGAAACATGAGAAAAAATCGCTATCATCAGTAATTGATTAAAAAAAAAATACATTGTAGTAATGCAACGCTAGCAAATACCCAACATTTCCATTATACTGTGTATGGACCAACAATGCAGTATGGTCAGAAATAGAACCAGAATAATTAGGGTGGAAAGGACCTTAAGATTATCTACTTCCAATCCCTCTTCCATGGGCAGGGACACCACACAGTAAACCATGACACCCAGAAGTTGTTAAGAATATTATGTTATTTATGCACAGTGATTCTTTTCATGTACCCAGGACTGATCAGGTTATTTCTTTAGGTCTGACTGTTCTGAAAGAAAGACACTAAACAGAAACCAGAATTAGTGACATGTTAGCCTTTGAGAAAAGGGAGGCCAAAGTCTTTGTGCAAAGATTGCACTGTGTTTAAATCCCATTTATTTAAATCAGTGACAAAAAAAAAAAGCAAAACAAAAAAACAAAAAACAAACAAAAAAAACCAAAAAACAAACAAACAAAAAAAACAAAAACAAAAACAAAAACAAAAAACAACCCATAGTTTTCAGTGCAAGAAAGTGCTGATTCTGATGGGAAGCCTTCTCTGTTTGCTGGCGGAGGTGCAAAACCTTAAATCTGTGGGGAAAAAAATACCTTTCAGCAAAGTAATAAAGAGTTCTGGCACTGTTTCTCTGCACTGGCCCTGGAAAGAATCACATTTGTATTGTGAGCTTTAATACTATTTCTGGGGATAAATACATTTCTTTTCTACTTTTGAATAATTTACCTTCTTATAGTAAAAGGCATTACTGCCAAATAGTGTGAACAGAATCTACTGCAATTAGATAGCTAGATAACTTCTGCAGTAGGCCCAATGAAAACCCTAGATCATTTTGAAAGTACTGAGACTGCTTAAAAAAGCCTTTCAAATAATTTTATAAGGCATAAAAATAGTTCAGTGCAGAGTTATTGTATGTTCTTGCCTGTGTTCATCCCATTGCTTTCTGGCACCATCTTTAAAAACAGCATTGCAGTAACTTGCTTTCTGAGTCAAGGAGACGATTTGGGTGATTTCTGTTCAGAAGGTGGACATAAGTTCTGATACTGGATTTTGAAGAAGCTGTTCTGCCCAGTATACCCTATATATGGCTGGGTAAGGGGGAAGGAGTATACAGAACATTGTACAAAGAACAAAAAATTCCTGACATGCAGTATGGACTGTTACATGTCACATTATGCACCCCACAAATCATCTTTGACACTTTGTAACTTTAAATAGCTGTTTTTCAGAAATCTCTTGGTGCTTTATATGGCCCTCCTTACTATTGTTCTCAGAGCAACTGGAGAACAATTTTTTGCCTTGTAGCATCCCTGTGGGGTAGAAAACTATATCTCCACTTTAGACCTGGCCTAAAGCTGAACATACATTGGATTATTTGTCCAATCTGTATTCATCTTCAAGCACGAATTCAGCCTGACGTGAGATACCCTTGTACCTGATCATTACACTGGCCTTCTTAGAATCACAGAATCATAGATTGCTTTGGTTGGAAGGGACCTTAAAGATCATCTAGCTCCAACCCCCCTGCCATGGCCAAGGGCATGTTCCGTTAGACCAGGTTGCTCAAAGCCCTGTCCAGCCTGGCCTTGAACACTGCCAGGGATGGAACAGTCACAGCTTCTCTGGGCAACTTGTGCCAGGGCCTCACCACCCTCACAGCAAAGAGTTTCTTTCTAATATCTAATCTAAATCCTCCCTTTGTCCATTTAAAGTCATCTCCCCTTGTCCTATCCTTACTTGCTTTCCAGTAGGTCCCCTTTAGGTTCTGGAAGGCTGTTCTAAGGTCTCCCCTGAGCCTTCTCTTCTCCAGGCTGAACAACTCCAACTCTCCCAGCCTGTCGAATCTTGCCTTTAAATCTGCTGGCTGCCATACCATGCAAGGACAAAGAACTTTCTAATTGTTTGGGGATTTTTTTTTTTTTTTTTTAATTGAAGGAATAATTCTGTAATAATTTTTTAAAGAGATTTCTCTCACTTGTATACCCATCTTTGGGTCATGTGTGAGGGGATCTAAGTCTGCAGAAGGCTAAGCATGCTCTTCTTTTCAAAGCACCAATCATTCAAAAATAATAGAAAACCTTCTAATTAGCTTAGGCCATACGCTTTGCCTTTTGAGTACTGGGCCAGAACATACCCAATTAGACAGCTCAGGATTCAGAGCCCAGGCAGGGAAGGGCTGTTGCCCTCCCTGAAGTCTCTAACATGCTGCTCTGGAGTTCCTAGTAGAATCCCTTCTGCACTACCAGTATGAAAAATGGAAAGAAACTGTAAATAATATAAAGAAACAAATTTTAAGTCAGTTGAATCTCCCTAGTTTCTGTGGAGGGTAACACCTCAGGTTCTTTCCTGAATTATTCTTAAATGTGAATTTCAGTTATCGCATTATTAAGAAAACAAAAATATCTTACCAGCACCTTTACTTCAAATTCCACATCTTTACCAAAGCTTTTTTTTCATGGAATACATCTTCTGAGTGTCCTTTGACAGTACAAATTCTTTAGGGGAAGGTGATGTTCACTGTTATGCCACCTGATTATCCTTCATTAGCAGGATCTTTCCATCTTAATCCTACAATCAGTTTCTTTCCACTTCTCTGCATAGAAAAATATTTGCATCAGAATTGATGAGTAAGGAAGTCTCAAGTCATAGTAGAATTTTATTTATGCTGAAGAAATTAATGCCAGCTAATATTCTTGTTTCTTGTTCTATTTTTCTTCTGTATTTAATTTCTGGTAATTGGCCCAACTTGTGTCCCACTGTGGGAGCTTGGCAGAGAGAGAGGGATAAAGAACGGAGAAAGATTTGTAGGTTGCAGGGACAGCTTGTATATGTGGCTGCATAAGTATGTGAGCTGGCATAAAGCAAGGCTCTGTGGATGTTAACTGTTTAACTAATACTGGATATAAATCCTTAGCTAGATGAGAATGTGACCTGACAAGGTAGGAAGAAATATTTACAGGTGCCCCACTGGTGTTTGGTTTCTTGCAAGAGCGATCAGAATGCACTTAATTACATCCCCAGATATTATGACCATGCAAGGGTGAATCATGCAACTCTTGGTTGATGCATAGCTGGAAAAATGGAGTTAGCACAATCCAAAATGGCAAGGATTTGTGGTCACAAGGAGAAAAAGGAAATGCATACTTACACAATACATGTAGCCAGTGAAGGATTTCATTTTCAGTCCTTCTTAGAATGATGAAGGAAGGACTTTTTTTTTTTTTTTTAAGAAAAAGGCAAGTTGAGTTGAAAATGAAACCTAACATATTGCCATTCCACCTTTAGCAGTGACTTTGCTTGGTCTAACCAATACCTAGGTTAAACCTAAGCTAAACAGGGTGAGTGCATGTGACATTCGTAGAGAAAAACTAAGCAATAGAGAACAGAGTATTTTAATTGCTCAGAGGAACTCTTTCTCCCGAGTCAGAAATAAAGCAGTGTCTCTACATGCTGTTAATGGCATTATGTTGTTGGTGGATTACCTTTTGAATAGCATCTAAGGCAGAAGTTGTGATGATCAGCGGTTATTAGAAACCAAAATGACCTTTCTTTAGCACAAGTGCTTTGGCTGCATCCAGTTCTTGGTAAGTGCTTTTATGTCTCTATTCCAGTTTTTCTTGTAGTTCCAAGTGGATGTGTTTTCTTGTTTCTTTGCCTGAATCTGTTGGGTAGTACTGTTTTCTACTATATTTTGAGTTCCATCTGAGAGGCAGCTCATTCAAAGTGGTGGGAGGAACACCTCAGAAAGAGACAACTATCTGATCACCCCACTGAGATCCACTTGTAGGGAAGGCATTAAATTAGTTTGATTCTTTTATAGGGGTATTACCAACTTGAAATACTCTTTTTCTAGTTGGAATGGAAAACCACTTGAAAGGAAAGAACCACTGTGTTTTAAGTTCCACAAACACTATCACATGATGTTAAATGGATCCTCTGTCATCATGAGAATTTACACCCGGGGTTTGCAGGCAGGACATGGCATTCTGGACACTCACCTCCACGTACACCAGAGCGGCTTAGTTGCTCAGGTTTTGGCAGTTCCTGCAGTTCCTGAGGTGGTTTTGAATTCTGCATCTCTTGTTTAACATGGCAGCTCGAAGAGTCCAGCTACGTTTAACATGTACTGAATTCAGTTCACATTTCATTTGGAAGGAGTCATTTTTGCTCTCTGCGGAGGTTTCAATTATAGAGGACCAAACGACAGGCGTAATTAAGGGAAGTGGTGGGATACCAGCAGAGCACGTTGGTGTTTCCACCAAGGATTTTGCAAATCCAAGCTTGATTAATCTGTTTAAACATCTGTGCATCCTCTCGTCTGTGCAACTTATCCCCGGGTATCTCTTTCCCTTCCACCGCCTGCCTGCCTGCCGTGCTCCTAACGGGCCGGACCTAGCCGCAGCCCTCTCCACCGCTTCGCACACGATGTCCCCCCGGTAGCGCTTCAGCCAACGACACCGCCCGCCTCAAAACACCGCTCGCACTCGCATTCCGCGGCGGAACCGCAGGGCAGAGCCCCCAGTACCGAGAAACCGGATCGAAGAAGGGCTGGGGAGCGGCGGCGGCGGCGCCTGCCGCCGCGGGGTGCTCGGCGCGGGCGGGCGCGGGGCTCGGCCACTGTGCCACCGAGCCGCCCTGCCACTGTGCCACCGTGCCGCTGCCCCTCAGCCATGCCGTGCCGTGCCGCGCCGTGCCATGGGTCCCTTGGTCTGTCCCCCCACTTGTGGAGGCCGTCGGCTCCAGCCCGGCTCCTTGACGTCATGTCTGTGGCGCGGCCCCGGCAGGCGCAGTGAAGGCGGGCGGGCACCGCGTTAAACTTTCAGATCAAGTCCGGCGGCGGTTCCGAACGCCGCGCGCGGGGGGCTGCGTGCAGCCGCCGCTGCCGCAGCTGGAACATCTGGAAGCGTTCAGTGTGTCTGTCTGCCGGCGAGAGGGAGAGAGCGGGGAGCGAGCGCTCTGAGGGAGGGGAGGGAGTAAGGGGCTGGGACTGTGCTCTCTTCCTCTGCAGAAACAGCTCCCTGCCAACACAACGCGCTCGGAATGGCTTTGAAGAGGAGGAGCAGCAGCGTTTGAACATCTCTCTTTTTTCCCCCCTTTTTTTCCTCCTTTTCTGACTCTTGTAGTTGGTGGATTTTAAAAAGACATTTAATCCTCAGAGATTTGCCCTGGATGCTTTTGCTTTTTCCTTTTTTTTTTTTTTTTTTTCCTTTCTCCCCCTCTCTCTCGTTTCCCCCCTTCCTGTTCTTTTTTATGGTTTAACAGCCAGAGGTGCTGTGCTAAATTCTTGGAAGGGGCCCGGATGTACTGAGGATGCATTGCAATTTCACTAAAGGAGGCAGTAGTGGAAAGGATCAGTTTTTGGTGTTTGATGCAATAATGGGAATCAGGTAATAATAAAAGGGAAAATTCTGCAGCTCCATTCTTCCGTGTATTTTACCAAGCCGATTTTCGGAGGGATTAATCTGGACTCGTTTTAAATGGTCAATGAAAACAAGAGGATGTACATCCCCGAAGAAAACCATCAAGGTAAGCCTGAGATTCACCTCCGAAGATCTCGCAACCATTCTCTCCCCTACCCTTTGTCCGTAATCTCTCGGCTCGGTTCAACCGCTGCCCCAGCCAGCTGCAGCCGTGGGGCCGGGGCGGAGGACAGCCCTTGCCACCGCTTCCCATTCGGGGGACACAGCTCCCTTCAGCCGACTGTGCTGCAGGAAGACCCCCGCAGCCCCTCAGGGAACCGGGGGTTCATAGAAAACCCCGTTCAAAGTAAAGTTCCTTTGAGTCGCCGTCGTTGCCTTCCAGGGCGGAGGGGCTGCGCGGAGCCGCCCGTGCCTCCGTGTCAGGGACAGATTAATTGGTAGCGCGGCCAGGATTATGGGATCTTTCCCAATTAATGCCCTCCCGGTCCTCCTAACCCCCATCTGGGTACGGCTTCCTAAGACACCGGGAGAGGAGCCCTTCCCTTCTCTTACGCTATTTCTAATCTCTCACACGAGAAGGGAAAGGAAGGGGGAATTAGCTGTTTACACACACATACACCACACACGCACACGCAACCGGGAGGATGAGGGACACCGGGAGGGCCTGCATTAAAATCAAAGTTGGGTTTTACTTGGGGCAGTGATTTGTCTCCCAGCTCCTCTCAGGATCGCCCGCATTATGGATACCAACCCTTGCTGCTGCTGCTGCTGCCTCTAGGCATTAGCAAACGTCCCCCGCTATTCCCTGTAGTAAAACTTTGTCCAAACTCCAGAAGCCTCTCCCCCCACACACCCGGCTCAACCCCGATCTGCTGTCCCTGAAGTTATTTTTACCCTGTTACCTGCATGTTGTCCCCCCTCCCTCCCCAGCAGCCCTGCTGCACACACACATCGGTGTTGCACAGCAGACAGAGCCATTTCCTCCCCTCGGCAAGAGAGGAGCAGCGCTCCGGCGGGAACCGACTGCCCCCCTCTTCTCCGCAGAACCCTCCAGCCGAGGGCAACTTCTTCCTTATTCCCCCATCCTGCCCCCGGCCCTGCCCTCCATGGCACCTCCCACCCTTGTCCAGGGCCCCTGCCCGCTGTGACCGGGCACCTGCACTGGGTGCGTGTGGGGTCCCAGCTTCGGGCAACTCCCCTGGTGCCCCCTGCCCTCAGCCCGTGGCAGGGGCAGCCGAGGGCGCAGCTCGGGAGGTACGTTAGCGCTGTGGCAGCCCGTAATGGTGGAGAGGCAGTGGAGATAACACCATCCTCCTTCCGATTTAATACAGATTAAAAAGAGAAAAACCCCGACACCCCAGCATCCCCCTCCCCTAGGCACTCTATCGAAATGAGGTGGGAGGGGAAAGGAAGCAGCCCCTGATGCAGAGTGCTCCTTCCATGTGGGAGCGAGCCCGCAACACATGTATTCAGCAGGCGTAATTGGGCTGCTCTTCCTGGACCAGAGCTGATAAAGTGGATGAAGAGCTCAGCCTCCATAGCAATATGCCAACACTATGGCAACCTAAATCCAGCTCCCTCCTTATCAGCTGCAGTGATTATATAATTGAAGGAACAGTTTTGCATCTGTCTCTTTATGCGGGTTGTCATTACCCCCAGGTGAAAGAGCAACTTCTAAAGCAAACAGAAAATCAGTCAGGTGGAAGAGTTCTGTTCCCTGATAGTGCTTGGGCTGCCATTTATTTACAATCTATTTTGATTTTGTGCAAACAGCGCCTGAAAGGTTAAACTGATCAGCAATCGAGAAAACCTGGTGACAAGGAGGTGGGAGCAAACCAATCACAATGTGGAATGGAGTCGTTAAAGCAACCACAAATTCTCAGTTGCAAGGTAGAGATAAAGAGTAGAAGGTAAAGCAAGGTGTGTGACCCTGGCCTGCTCCTTGTTTGTAAGAGGGAAGGTTGACTGGAATAAGTCCTTGTTCTTGCATCCTTCTCAGTTGCTGGCAGCAAGGTGAGCGTTCCAGGTACTGCTGATACAAGGCAAATTTTTTTTGTCTGTTCTTGAAATGTGACTGACAGGGCCAGGCCTCTGCTAGCAGTTGCTTTCTGCACATGTCCACTCCAGTGAGCCTCTCAATAGCTCACCTGTACAGCATTTAGTACTATAGCCTGGGAGGCAGGGGAGCCGCTTGCTTAAAATAAAGAAATAGAGCATGCTAGAGGCCATTTGTTAGGTTGTGAGGACTGTGAGGAAGAGAAATTGTATTTGAAAATGCTTTGTTGACTTCTCAACTGCTAATTTGGGTAGGTTTGTAATACACGTGTTTGTAATACGTTCTTTTGAATGTGACTTTGTCCACTGAAAGGCTTTCACCCTAAAGTAAGAATTTCTGATAATTTTTGAATGTTAAAATATAAGTCTACTGTGTTTTCATTGCAGTCTCCTGCTGCACAAAGAAAGAGGAGCTGATGATATTATTTGTTGATGCTGAGATGCTTCTCAGCGTTTTTTTTTGCTAAACAAAAGAGCATATTTTTATAGCAATTAATTATTCATTATTACCATAGTGCATGTGTTTATCTAGAAAAACTAAAAAACCCACCTGCCAAGCACCAGAAAAAAGCTTTCAAAACTACCTCCATCACTCTTAATGCACATGTGGGACTGGGTGGGATCCTAGATGGGCATCTTTAATGTGTTTCCCTCATAATATTTTGAAAACTCACTCTCTCATAATAGAAAATGGAAAATCAGTTTGCAAACCCACGTTTCACAGCCCTCTCAAGGGAGGGACCAGTGTGAGTCAACCCAGCCTGTGGTGCTGCGAGTTCGAATCTCAAGCATAGCTTAACCATCTAGTTGAATGTGAATGCTCCCCATCCTGGTGATTGGAGGGGTCTCGGGGTGATTTGGTGACCAGCCAGGAAATGAAACGAATCCAGTAGTTCTGCCGTGTTTTTTCAGTCCCGGGGGCTTCGGGGGACCGGGAGGGTAGGTCCCGGTACTGCCTCTCCCGGGAGGTGGCACTGCGGGGCCGCTGAGCCCGGAGCCGTGCAGACGCTTCTCGGTCTGCCTCATCCGTCCCCTGCTCCTCAGGAGGACAGGCCAGATGTAGCACCAGTAGATACGGATCTACCCCAGAATAAAATTCATTAGGATTGAAGAGCCCCTGGTAGGTCACTTATTTCATATAGTAATGATCCTCTGAGTGAAAAGCCCTTTCTGATGCTGTGTCTGAACTACCCTTCCTTCAATTTCAGAGAATGCCTTTGGGCTTTGTCCTTATTGCATATTTTGAACAGATTTCTACCTGCTGCTTGTAGAGGAGAACCCCCTCGTGTATTTGTCAACCATAATTAGGTCTTCCTTCAACCTCCTTTCCTAACCTGCACATATTCTGTTCTTGAAATCTTCCCTGTAAGACACTTTTTTCATAGTCCTTGTAATCTTTTGTATCTGTTAAATCAGGAGCTAATTAGTATATCCTTTATTTCTCAGAAGCCTATTGATAGTGAGAGGGTCAAGTCACAAGCATGGTCCCTAATGCATTTTCTGACCTGAAATGAGGATCAAACCCACAAATACTCCCCTTAACTCTGCAGGTATAAATAGAGATGATTGTGTACACTTTACAGCTGATTTCAGTTGAAGGCTTGAAATCTGTCTCGTGCTGTGCTACAAGACAAAACCATTGGAGATGTGGACTAGAATTTGCTGGATGTTTGCTTTAATTTTCTGCTCTATTTTCAGAATGCCACTTTTATTTCCTCTAATTTTCTGGGGCAATGCTTTAACATATAGGAAAAACTGTGTTCTTTTTGTGGTGACTAAGTGATCAGACCAAGTCTTCATTTTTGAGCATTTGTTTTTGTGCTCTCATTTTGCTATACATGTTTGTCAGGCATTAGTTGTGGGGCATAAAGAATACCTCTAATTGGATTGACACTTATCTTCAGGGTTTTTTTTTTTGGGAAAAAAAATACCTGAATCACTGTTTTAAAAACACAGCACTAAAATTCCAACCCTCACAGATTTAACAATAAATGCTTGTATTTATAAAGTATTATTTTCTTCCTCTAAGTACTTGGGACATTCAGTAGGTGCTAAGTGCTTAATTCAATGTAATATGAAATAACAGTGTAATATAAAAACAGTTAATAGAATGTTAAATAACTACTTAAACATTCTAAGTAATATAGTGCACTGCATTTACTTGTAGAGAAGACTAGTAGTCTTCAGAAGAAGTGCTTATGCGCATTCAACCTTTTCGTATCCTTAAAAGAAGTATTTTAAGTATCCTGCTAAAGACATGGGATTTAAAGTATATACTCTTGAAAGATTTTCTTTGAAATCCTCTTCAGTCATACAGACCAGTTTGGGTTAGGTCATCATTGGTGTTCCTGCTTACTGGTTCTTCCTGAAGTCTGAGCTTCTGCCCTTATGAACACTTGCTTCTGAAGAACCAAGGTTGTGCCCTCTCTGCAACCAAGGCACCCTTACAAACCCACTCATAGTTGCATTTCTGCTCCTGAATGTATTTTTGGGGTTACATCTGTGTAATTCACTGCAGCAGGTATGACACATTCTTGCCATGTGGAATTAATTTGAATCATAGAATAGAACTATAGAGTCAGGTAGGTTGGGAAAGGCCTTTAAGATCAAGCCCAACTGTTAAATTAATTTATCCTACTAAGATACTTACTTTTAATTGTCTTCATTTTTTGTTTCCTCAAAACGCATGAGTTTAAAGAAAATGTCATATACCTGCAATATTACCATGTATGCTTAGGTTTCGCTTAGTTTCTTTCCATTTTGTGGAAAATGGGTTTACGCCTGTCCTTAAAATAGGATCAATCTGAATGGCAATCATTCTTAAATTTACTTTTTTTTTGCATGTCTGTGTATATGTGTGTGAATTGTCATTGTGGCCATCTGACTTGTTAGCAACTGTCTTGTTTAACCCTTTCTGGGAGTTAATTCAAGGAACAGAGTCACTGAAGTTCAGGAACAGCAAATATAAGATCTTTTTTGAGCAAATGTGTTGTATAAATTTATTGTCTGTCAAACAACAGATGTGACCATGTACATTAAAAGTCTCTTGAA